ACGTAGAGGGACTGCCCGGCGGCCCCCGAGTCGTCCCCGCTGCCCTCGTACTTGCCCAGCGCCGCCAGCCCGTTCACCTGCGGGGAAAGGAAATGTCAGTGGTCCCCGTGGGGTTTGGCTCTCGGGTTCCCCTATCCCTGGGGACACAGCCCTCAGGGTTCCACAGCACACAGGGACACAACCCTTGGTGTCCCCTGTGCCCCTGTAACAACGCAGCCCTTGGCATCCCCTTCCCATGAGGACAGAGCCCTTCGGGTTCCCCCTCTCACTCCTCACAACCCTTAGTGTCCCTTGTCACCCCACAGGATATGGCTTTTCACATCCTTTATAGAAGGACACAGCTTTCAATGTCCTGTCACCCTAAGGGGCATGGCCCATCCCACAGAGACCTGGCTCTTGGCCTCTCCCATTGCCCTGTGGGGCACAGCCCTTGGTGTCTCTTGTCACCCCGTGGGACACGGCCCTCTGCATCCCCTATCCTAAGGTGTACAGCCATCGGCGTACCCCTTCCCATGGGGTGAGCGCCCAGGCTGTCCCCACAACCCCAGGGGACACAGCCCTCAGCACCCCTCTTCTGCAGGGCCGTCGCCATCACCTCTGCACGCTTGATGAACTCCTCGGTGGCAGCAGTGGCATTGTCCTGCTGCCCACGCCAGGCGCTGAGCGCCGACGCCTGCAGCGCCCGCCCGTAGGAGAAGGTGAGTGCCCATGGCCGCACCAGCGGGCACGTGTTGATGGCGTTGAGGTTGATGGAAGCCTCCTCCTCACTCTGACCCCCGGACAGGAAGGTGACACCTGCAGAGAGTGAGCTTATGGCACCAGGCAGACCACAGGACGTCCATCTCCTGGTCCCCATCGCGTCCCAGTGCCGGTACCTGGCACAGCTGGGGGCACAGTGCGGCGCAGGGCGGTGACAGTGGCCATGGCGATCTCCTCGGGGCTGTACTTGGTGGGGCAGGAGTGTCCAGGGGTCACCATGTTGGGCTTCAGCAGGGTCCCCTCCAGGTAAACGTGGTGGTCACTCAGTGCCTTGTAAACAGCTGCCAGCACCTGGAACAGATGAGCAGTGTGGAGTACCCTGGCATGGCATGGCTCAGCATGGCACAGTGCCCACCCTGCTGCCCTCTCCACCTCTCACCTTCTCCGTCACATACTGGCACCGCTTGAGGTCATGATCACCATCGGGCAGGATCTCTGGCTCCACAATGGGCACAATGCCATTCTGCAAACAACAGGCAGATACCATCACAGGGATGTCCCTGGGCATTAGCCTGGCCCCATGGCAATTTGGGCCAAGGCCTGGACCTGGGAATCGATGCTCAGCCCCAAGGTTCAATGCCCACCCTTGACAACGACCCCAGTGGGGTGACACCCAGCCTTAAGGGTCAAATCTTGGCCCCACGGAGCAATGCCCGTGTTTGTGGGGTGATGCCCAGCCCCTTGTATCACTGCCTAGCTCAGTGGATTGATGCTTGGCCCCACGAGTGATGCACACCCCACAAGGCACTGCCGGGTCCTGGGGGTCAATGCCCATCTACACAAGGTGGACCCGTGCATAGGCTGACATCCAGCCCCTGGGATGATACCAAAGCACAGGGGCAGTGCTGAGCCCCATGGACCTGTGCCCATCTGTGTGGGGCAATACCCGGCCCCTTAGGTCAGCACCCACCCTATGGGTCGATGCCCATCCCGTAGGGTGATTTTTTCCGTTGGGGCCATGCCCGTCCTCTGGGGTGATCCCCAGCCACAGACCCGTACCTGCTGGCAGATGCTGGCGTAGCGGGCCAGGACGTTGGCGTTCTCCATGATGGCGAGCGCGGAGGGGGTGTTGTCACTGATCTTCAGCACGCAGCGCCACTTGGCAAAGTCAGCCCCATCCTTCTTGTACTGGGCACAGCGCTCCGACAGCCCGTCCAGACCTGCCGGGCAGCGCGTCA